TAACATGTTAACTTGAATATTAAAATTTGTGTAAATTTCATAGACTAATATTATTAATGGAATAATAACAAACACTTTGGATCCAATTGGTGCTATAATTGGACCAATTAGGTCCGACCTTTAGTAGTTACTAATAGTGAGACAACGTATCGTGTTCATAGCTTGGCCCCTCTATTATCGATGTGCATTTCACAAAATGTGTAGAATGCTAAACAAACAATAGCGCTAGTAAGTGTTTTTAGAAAAAATAATTAATTATGAAAAAGATTGTATATGTTTGGACAAGTCTTCGAAAAATATATGAAATTACTATCGATTTTTATTTTTATTTTTTATGTTTTGTGAAAAATGTCTAATTTTTTTCAAATTATGATATTAATTTTGATTTCTCTTGCATAGTTTTAAATTTATTCATTAATCTTTTGCAGCAAAAAGATGAGAAAAACCATTCAGGTGAAGCACCACCAAACACGCCATCCGGATTGTTCAAGAGGAACAAGCAACAACCGGTTGACCGGAAGCGCCCGCCCACTTCACCGTCACCGCCACCGCCTTCTTCCTCTATCCACCGCTCCACATTGCATTCCTCTAAGTCGGAATCAGTGCAAGAACACCCTGAGAATGCTTCATTTCAAGACGATGATGGTGTTGAACCTGATATAGACCATAATCTTCATGCTGCCAGGGCAAAACTAAGACGTTCCAACAAAGGGATCAGTTAGTCAAACTGTCACCAAATAAAGTAAAGTTTTGTGAAATTGTAAAAAGTTTGAATGTGATCAAAACATTTTTGAATGATTTTTTTCTTCTTCTCCATTTGTTTGATTTTTCAGTTTTGACATAATTACATGAGAAATGAAATTCTTTTCCGTTCTAACTTTTATTTTAAAGTATCATTCATCTTACTCAGAAAATAACGCAAAATTTCTTGAATAAGTTGGATATTTTTGTCTTTCAAGTTGAATGTTATAGAATCTGATTTGGTTGACGCATAACACATTGACTTTCATTGTATCATAGAAGCAATTGGTAAGAAATTTACTTGAACATTAACAACAACAACAATAACATACTCAGCAAAATCCCATAAGTGTGATATGGGGAGGGTAATATAGTTGCAGACCTTATCTCTACCTTTTCGAATGTGGAGAGGTTATTTTCGATAGACCCCCGACTCAAGGAAAGCATAATCGCAACAATCATTAAAAGGACAAACGATAGGAGTGAAGAAGCTAAGAAGTAGTAACACTAGCAAGAAAAATAAGATAATCGAAGCAAAGAACTACCAGATTATAACAAAAAGCTAACACTAATGCAACATGTATACATATACAGAGGAGAAACGCGCGACTACATACTAACCTACTAAACTACTTGAATATTAGTTTCTAGGAAAAGGGGACTACAGTCTTAAAAAAAAATAGAGATTGTGGTTCGCCTTGAAACCACTACTTTGCTTAATAAATTTCTGCCTAATTTGCTCTTACATCACTTTCAAATACAACTACTTTTTCCTAACCCTTATATAGCTGCTTGTCACGTCCTTAGTTGTTAACTAAGTACACGTGCAACACTTGACAACTCACTCACGATCTTGCACAACTTGCTCACGTTCCTGCTATGCCAAGTCAGTCTTACCACACTCAAGATCGCTAAGAGAATGGTAGAAAGAACACAAGAGAATTGTTAAAGGAAGCTTTGTATTAGAGAAAACTTGAATTGTTTGCTTGATGAGTTACAAATGAATAACCCCCTTTATATACTAGTTTCATAGGGGCTAGTGAGTAAATAATAATTATTACACAAGGCCCTTATAATTTACAAGTAAGTCCCTTCTGTAGAATATTCTACATAGCTAGAATCTTCTAAGGGCTTTCCTAGCAATTCCATAGGGTTCTAAGGTTTTCCATGAGAAATCTCCATATTTCTCTAGAACTTTTCCACATTCTATTTCATATGTAAGCTTCCACATGGCATTAATATATGCCAAATGGCACCTACATGGCATGATGATGTGGCGGGTCATGATAATCTCCCTCACCCAATTTTGTGTCGCCCTCAGCACAAAGCATCGACACTACGCGCCCACCTCGCCTTGGTGTCATTAGAGATCTTTGTCCATTAGTCATGATGCTCTATGGAATGGTTCGCCTTCCCTGTCACAAGGTATTGGTCACTTTTCTTCTTGCCCTGTTTGTACTTTGGACGGCTAGCAATGATGGCCTCGATCCTCCGCCCATCGGATGTCTCTCCTTGCTCTTGGCCTGAATCTCCACATGACTCGACCAAGTCTAGCAGCTTCTCAAGCATCGGGTACATGTTTCCACTCCCTATTTGGCTGCCCTCCGTGGTTATAACTTTAATGGCAAACTTGACCCCTCTGCTTGGTGCTTCGTCTAAGTCTGATAGCGTGCCATCACTTTGTAACTCGCTATCCTCTTTAACTATGTCCGCCCAACGTTTCTTGCTATCACCATGCTCCATTTGCTTGGCGCCAAGATAGGCTTTGGAATCCCCTACTTTCGGCTTAGATTCTAAGCGTATCCCCCCAATATAGGTGGTCCCTCCTATGTCACCCTTGTGTGTTTGAGCAAAGTTCCTGATCATTGCTGCAAGCCTCCCCAAATCTGGGCATTCACTTGCCCGATGTGATCCTTTGCAGAAGTAGCACCCTCCGTTAGGCACGTACTCGCTACCATTTTCTGGCCCATTGTCGTTTCTCTTGGACCCCAGTCCATTATGGGATGGCCCCTTGCTATTTCCCTTGTATGCCTAGGCTATGCCTTTCCCATTGTCCTTGTCATGATCTCCCCCACCCCTCTCGGTGTCACCTTCTTTGAACCTGGCAGGCTCCATCTTGAAGTCAATGAGCGACTCGGTTACCGCTATGGCCTCATCCACGTTGACTACTTAATGTCTTCTTAACTCATGCTTTACCCAATTTTGCAACCCATCTATAAAGTAGAAGAGTGAAACTTCCTCGGATAATGATGGGATTTGCAGCATTAAGGTAGTGAACTCGCGCACATACTCCCAAATTATGGCCGTATGTCGGAGCTCCGTTAGCTTCCGCCTAACCTCATACACCACATTCACCTGGTAGAGTTGCTTCTTCAACTCCTTCTTAAACTGCTCTCACGTCTCAATATTGCATAGCCCCTTCTCCATGTCAACACACTTTCGACGCCACCATAATGCAACAATCTCTATGAGGTATAATATAGTGGTGTTGATCTTAGCTTCATCGTCCTCACTCTACCGTGCCTGAAGTATTTCTCCAAGTGTCAAAGGAAGTTCTTCACTTCTTGTGCATCACGAACACCTTTGAACACCGACGATTTGGGAGCCTCGATCTTGGCCTCCCTCGTCACAACAATATTATTGTCTACCTCGGTCACGCCAACATCGACACGCTCATCGAGTGCCTTTATCTTAGCCTTCATGGCATCGATAGTGCTCACCGCCTCCATGAGTCTGCACTCCAAGGTAATGATGGTTTGTCTTAGCTCCATCTCGGCCTGCGTGCGCCCCTCCAAGTCATTTCAGATACTCTCAATCTCCTCAAGAGTGTGTCCCTCAAGAACGCTAAGGGTGCCTTTCACACTCCCCAAGCGTTGGCCAAAGATCTCGATGACGTCCATCCTAGCGTTTATCTTCATCACCCACTCTTTACCGAGCGAGACGTCCTCGGGCAGGACCTCCACTTCATCCTCGCTCGCCTCAGTGATAGATGGTTCTTGGGATGTAAGCCCTTCGTTTGACACAACCTCGGGTGGCACCTCCTCGCTCTTGTTAGTGACATTCCTCTTTTTGTTACGACCACTCTTGCCAGCAACATCTTGGATGATATTGGCTTGGGTGTTGGCAACATTAATTTCTCCGTCGTTCGCCATTCCCTTAGTTGCAACCTTTGCTCTGATACCACGTTGTCACGTCCTTAGTTGTGAACTAAGTACACGTGCGACACTTGACAACTTGCTCACGATCTTGCACAACTTGCTCACGTTCTTGCTATGCCAAGTCAGCCTTACCACACTCAAGATCGCTAAGAGAATGGTAGAAAGAACACAAGAGAATTGTTAAAGGAAGCTTTGTATTAGAGAAAACTTGAATTATTTGCTTGATGAGTTACAAATGAATAACCCCTTTTATATACTAGTTTCATAGGGGCTAGTGAATAAATAATAATTATTACACAAGGCTCTTATTATTTACAATTAAGTCTCTTCTATAGAATATTTTACATAGCTAGAATTTTCTAAGGACTTTCCTAGCAATTCAATAGGGTTCTAAGGTCTTCCATGAGAAATCTCCATATTTCTCTAGAACCTTTCCACATATGCTAATCTATTTCAGATGTAAGCTTTCACATGGTATTAATATATGTCAAATGGCACCGGCACCTAGCAAACTTTGAATTGGAGATATAGAAGTTTCTTTTTCTGTTTTGGTTTGCGAAGTCCGGGAAAAGTGATAGCAAAAGAGTAATGCTCCCTCAATTCTATTCTATATGACATTATCATATTTTGGAGAGTTGAACGATTCTTGTACCTACAATCTTTCATGTATATATTTTAATTCAATATATAATACTACCTTTTATATAGTTTTTAATTATGTAAAAATTATTTTATGAAATTGATGTCCGAATTAAAGTCTTACATATAGTGCCTCCCTTTTTTGATCCATTGAAAAGTAATTGACACATTTGGAGGACATTTTAGAAGAAACATTTGGAATTAGAATAATTTATTTCGTGGAATTAGTGAAGTCTAAAAGTGGGCGTTTGAACATAAGAATCGTAAAATTTTGAAAAAAAATATGAATTTTTTTTTTTTCTAAGTAAAAATGTTATTTAAAAACTAGAGTGGTATGTGTAAGCCAATAGCTCCTGATTTCCACGTACAGATTCCCCTTCACCAAAGGCCAAAATTCTTCCACAACACTGAATTTACTTATCCACCAAACCCTACACCAAACTACATTCTCCACCCTAAACTTTCATATTCAATAGATAGGGAGAGCAAAACCTTCTAGAACTTTCTGCAGCTCCCCTATCTTTATCACAAATACCCCCCTCTTTCTCTTGCTGTCCATTCAATTACCAATTTCTCCTATCCAATGGCTTGCTCTGCTTCTTCTACAGCACTTCTTTCTTCCAACCCAAAAGCAGCTTCCATTTCCCCCAAATCCTCCTTTCAAGCTCCCATTTCTCAATGTTTATCTGTACCTTCCTCTTTCAATGGGCTCCGTAATTGCAAGCCTTTTGTTTCTCGTGTAGCCCGTTCCCTCTCTACTCGCGTTGCTCAATCCCAACGCCGTCGTTTCGTTGTTCGTGCCTCTGTAAGTTTCTCTTTTACACCTTTCTTTTCTTGAGTCGATAATCTGAAATTTTGATTTTTTTTTTCGGGGAAAAGGCTTTGCTTTATTCACTTCATCTGTGTTGTGTACTTAGAATTTGGAACTTCAATGTCTGTCGTTTCAACTTTAAATCCTATATTTTTCAAAATTCAAGTTAAATCCAGCAAAATACTTGACTGAGACGAATAGTGCACACTTTTACCATAACTGCTCAAGGTATATTTAAGGGATCACTTTGAACCTATCCCCAAACATAAGGAATCATTTTTATCATTTTCTCCTTTGAATTATAAGGCAATGTAAATTGTATTTATGGACTGTGTTTTAATGGAAAGTGAATTCAAATTTATATGTTCACTTGTACCTAACTTGGTAATGGTAGAGTGGTAAGCTTGAGTTCATATTTAGGATTAACTCATTACAGTATGTTGTGTGCTCCATACTTTGCCTAAAGAAATTGATGGATTGGATGACAGTGATTTTAATTAAAACTTAGGGCTACCTCTTGCAACCGGATATAAAGGAAAACTAATATTGGGCATGCCTATCTAGAAGATGTTAGAAAAGTTAAATTAGATGACCAAGTGAAATAAAAGAAAGTTTCTGTTCAAGATTCTCGATTTCCCAANTAACTTGTAGTTCTCTGCCCAGCATTTTCTGCATTTATTTGCTTGCTTCTGTTAATGTGATAATGAGGTCACTATTTCTTCAAAATGCCTTTAAAAGGGTTATGTGTACCTAAATGGTTTGCCGTGCTGCATTCTGCTGCTGCACTAGTATGCGTGCAGCACACTATCTTTGTGATGGTACGACTCCAAATATGTGTGAAGTTCCAAATAAACTTAAACTTAAGAGAAAATAGAGTGCATGTGTGAAGCTTGTTTTTTGAGGGGGGTGTATATCCTATTTCTTCTTTTTTGTTCCTTTATTTGTTAATATAAGTTCCCAACTTAAGTTTTTTTAACATTTGAATCATTAACTAGTGATTTAGACCTTTTACCTAATGTAGTTATTATTCTGTTGCTAGTAACTGAAAACTAGGTTTGGTTTGGTTTGCATAGGTTATTATATTATACTATTCTTGGTACCCGTGCGATGCACGACCAATATAAAAAGAACTAATTGTAGTATATTGGCATTCATATCTATTTATAATATCACACTAAAATTAATGCTTTAATATATAAATTATATTTTTTGTTGAGGCCATTTATTTTATTAGGGGTCATTTGATTTGAAGATAAGTCATGCTGGGATTAGTTATATTGGGATTAGTTGTGTTGGAATTCATTATCTTGGTATTATTTCTTATTGATTACAACAACAACAACCCAGTGTAATCCCACAAGTGGGGTCTAGGAAGGGCAAGATGTACGCAGTCTTACCTCTACCATAGAATGGCAGAGAGACTGTTTTCGATAGACCCTCGGCTAGAGAAGATGGAAGAAGCACTGATAGCAAGTAATAGCAAGACAATATATTTAGAAAACTAAATCGAAGATAAATCCAAGCAAGTAATAGCAAGACAATATATTTAGAAAACTAAATCCAAGATAGCAATAGAGAATATGAAAGAAGTACTGCTAGCAAACTAAGAAAGTACTGATGGCAAGTAATAACAGAACAATATATGCAATAATAGCAAACTAAGGATAAAAAGGGTAACACTAATACTATCGAATTAATGAAGACAAAAGGGAAACGCACGACCACCTACTAACCTTCTACTCTAATCCTCAACCTCCACACTCTTCTATCTAGGGTCATGTCCTCGATTAGCTCAAGCTGCATCATGTCCCGCGTGATCACCTCTCCCCAAGACTTTTTTGGCTTACCTTTACCCTTCCTCTTACCCCCCAAGTCCAACCTGTCACACCTAACTGGGGCATCTGTGCTTCTCCTTTTAACATGCCCGAACTATCTCAGCCTCGCCTTTCGCATATTTTCCTTCACAGGGGCTACTCTCATCTTGTCCCAAATAACTTCATTCCTAATTCTATCCAACCTAGTATGCCCACACATCCATCTCAACATCATTATTTCAGCTACTTTCATCTGCTGGACATGAGAGTTCTTGACTGGCCAGCACTCTGCCCCATACAATATAGTCGGTCTAACCACTATCTTGTAGAACTTACCCTTAAGTCTCAACGGCACATTCTTATCGCACAAGACACCGGAAGCGAGTCTCCACTTCATTCGCCCTGCTTCGATACGATGTATGACATCTTCATCAATCTCCCCATCATTTTGAATTATAGACCCCAAATACTTGAAATTCTCTCTCATGGGAATGACTTGCGTATCAAGCCTCACATCCACATTCGCTTCCTGGGTAACACCGCTGAACTTGCACTCCAAGTATTCTGTCTTGGTCCTGCTCAACTTGAAACCCTTAGACTCGAGGGTATGTCTCCAGACCTCCAGCCTCTCGTTAACATCATCTCGCGTTTCATCAATCAGGACTATGTCATCTGCAAATAACAAGCACCAAGGCACCTCCCCTTGAATGTGTCGCGTCAATGCGTCCGTTGCCAAGGAAAACAAAAACGGGCTAAGTGTTGATCCCTGATGCAACCCATCTCAATCGGGAAGTATTCAGAGTCTCCTCCCGCTGTCCTAATCCGTGTCTTAGCTCCATCATACATGTTCTGGATCACTCTAATATATGCTACCTGCACTCCTTTAGCCTCCAAGCATCTCCATAGAACCTCTCTCGGAACTTTGACATAGGCTTTCTCTAGGTCTATGAACATCATATCCAAGTCTTCTTCATCGCCTTATACTGCTCCACCAATCTCCTCACAATGTGAATGGCTTCGGTAGTCGACCGTCTCGGCATGAAACCAAACTGATTCTCGAAGATGGACACACTCCTCCTCATCCTCCCTTCTATCACCCTCTCCCACACTTTCAATCATATGGCTTAACAACTTGATACCCCTATAGTTGTTGCAGTTTTGGATATTCCCCTTGTTCTTGTACGACGAAATCATCATACCCCGCCTCCACTCTTCAGGGATCTTGTTCGTCCTAAAAATGACGTTAAACAACCTAGAGAGCCATTCCAAGTCCGCCTTACCCACGCTCTTCCAAAATTCCATAGGGATCTCGTCTGGCCCGGTCGCTCTACCCCTACTCATCCTGCGCATAGCCCCTTCAACCTCCCCCACTCGTAGCGTCTACAGTTCCCAAAATCCCGATGTCGCTCCGAGATATTATTTATAATTGATTATTTGGTATATTGTATTAATTCTGGGATTGTCAACTTTACTGCTTTATCCCGGGATTACTATTTTACCCTCTGACAGGTAAGTTATCTCGGTACTATTTTTAATCCTGGGTTAAGTTATCCCAAGATTAGTATCCAAACAAGGGATAAGGCGGTACTAAATTTTTACCCCAGGATTATTTTTGCTTATCCATCATATCAAACGATCCGTTATAGTCAATTTGTATCACAAATATTGTTTCTAATAATTTATCCGTTCTCATCTGCATAAGTATTGTTTGAATTAATGTTTCTCTTTAAAAAATTATCACTCTTATGATATTTTCTCTTTGTATCAAAAATATTAAAATAAATATTTATAATTAAATATAAACTAACTGAAGGAAAGCGTTGGTTTAACTGGTAAAGTTGCTGCCATGTTACCGGCAAGTCACGGGTTCAAGCCGTGAAAATAGCCTCTTGCAGAAATGCAGGGTAAGACTGCGTACGATAGACTCTTGTGGTCCGGCCCTTCCCCAGAAAACCCGCGCATAGCGGGAGCTTAGTGCACTAGGCTGCCCTCTATAAATAATAAACTAACTACACTCAATTTAAAAATTTTATCTTTCTAATGAAATTCAAAAAATAAACACTCAATTGAAAGTTAACTACATTTTATGTTATTACACTACCCATTAAAATTGTCTAAAAATTACCATGTGAATTTTTAATACAACAACAACAATCCAGTAAAATCCCACAATTGGGGTTTGGGGAAGGTAGTGTGTACGCAGACCTTACCCCTATCCCGAGGGAGTAGAGAGGTTGTTTCCGATAGACCCTCGACTCAAGAAGGCGAAAAGAGACAATAGATTATTACCAGCAACAGAAACCAGAAAAATAATGACAGCATCTTAAGAATCAGAAAATAGATAAAATGCAATAACAACCACCAGTAAATATGGCCCGATACTATGTAAAACGAAGAATAGTGTGGACACAACATTAACCACTAGCAGTCCAAGACAAAATATTATCAGACTAGCCTCACACCCGGTACGAAGTAGAAAAATGCTCATCTACCTCGATCTTCATACCTTCCTATCAAGGGCCATGTCTTCGGAAATCTGAAATCGCTCATGTCTTGACTGATCACCTCTCCCAATACTTCTTAGGCCGCCCTATGCCTCTTTCCATTCCCGCCTAAGCCAACCGCTCACACCTCCTTACCGGAGCATCTAGGCTTTTCTCCTCCGTTAGTGCCCGAATCATTTAAGCCTCACTTCCCGCATCTTATCATCCATGGGAGTCACGCCCACCTTCTCCCGAATATCTTCATTCCTAATCTTATCTATCCTAGTGTGCCCGCACATCCACCTCAACATCCTCATTTTTGCTACCTTCATCTTTTGGATATGAGAATTCTTGATTGGGGAACACTTTGCTCCATACAACATGACCGGTCTTACCACCGCTCTATAAAACTTACCTTTAAGTTTCAGTAGCACTTTTTTGTCACACAGGACTCCAGATGCTAACCTCCATTTCATCCACCCCACCCCTATACGGTGTGTGACATCCCCGTCGATCTCCCCATTCTCTTGGATAACCGACCGACCCAAGGTACTTGAAATTTCTTCTCTTGGGGATGAACTATGAGTCAAGCCTCACGTTCATGCCCGCTTCCTCCGACACGTCGCTGAACTTGCACTCCAGGTATTGTGTCTTAGTCCTACTCAACTTGAAACCCTTATACTTTAGGGCCTGTCTCCAAACCTCCAGCCTCTCGTTAACGTCGTCTCGCGTCTAATCAATCAGAACTATGTTATCAGCGAATAACATACACCATGGCACCTCCCCTTGAATATGGTGTGTTAGTGTGTCCATCGCCAGGGCAAATAATAATGTGCTAAGCGCAGATCCTTAGTGTAACCCTATGTGAATTTTTAATAATTTGTCATAAATTAAACTCTAAATCTTTTGGAGTTTTGTCCTAAAAGAGTGGCACTTACCCTTTGGTGGTTATGCACTTGGCTTAATGTGGTGACTTTCCAAATCTTTTGGAGCTTTGTCCTAAAAAAAAGTAACACTTGCCTTTTTGTGGTTATGCAACTATGGTGGCTTTGCCTCTCGTTTTATAGTCAATTTGTATCATAAATATTATTTCTAATAATTTATCTATTCTCATCTATATAAATATTCTTTGAGAAAATACTATATTAATATTTTTCTCTTTCTAAATTATCACTCTTATCGTAATTTTTTCTTTATATAAAAAAATATTTAAATAAATATTTCTAATTAAATAATAAACTAACTACACTCAATTTAAATGTTTATCTTTCAAATGAAATTCAGAAAATAAACACACTCAATTGAAAAATTAACTACATATATGTTATTACATTGCCCATTATTATTGTCTAAAAATTACCATGTGAATTTTTAATAATTCTTCATAAATTAAACTCTAAATCTTTTGAAGTTTTGTCCTAAAAAAGTGACACTTGCCATTTTGTGGTTATGCCACTTGGCTTAATGTGGTGGCTTTGTCTCTCCTTTTATATATAGATGGATTTATGAGTAGAAGTGCAAGTCTATAGCTTATGTTTAGAATACATATTATATGTTTCTCTTATTTATTGAGTGTTTACCCATATTTGTTTGACGAGCATTTGACTTCACAGAAAAGGAAGAAACATTTGGATATTAGACTTTTCTAGAATGTTAATTGTGGTGCCTCAATATTGACTTGTTTGCAAATATTCAATTGTAATCCTCAATGATTTGTCATCCGTCTCTTGAGCGTAACTTTTTATCTTGTATTAATGATTTCATGTTGTTGCTCATGCAGTTCTCCCACCTTGCCTGGGTTCAAACTGATAGAAAGTCTGGTGGCCTAGGTGATCTGAACTATCCATTAATTTCCGACGTGACCAAGTCAATTTCAAAATCATACAATGTTCTGATCCCCGATCAGGTATGTCGTTCTGTTTGCGACTTTTTAGCTTTGAGCATTATTTGTTGATATTGGTGGCATATCCCTGTCCTGAGTCATTTACAGTGTAAACTACTACTCATACGTAAGGTACTAATGAAATATTCATTTTTGGAGAATACGCTGTGCCTTGATGCAAGAATGAAGAGCTGTATTTATGCACAAATGCAATCAACCTTGGAATAAAGTTAGCTTCTAGTACTCATGCACAAGTGTATGGTATTAATATGTGGACAACAAATTGCATCAATAGTATCCCTTATAAAAATGTTTGCATCAATTTACACAGAATATGCCTTTTTATTGACCTCACTTCTTAACTACACCCCCTTCTGCTATTATACCTTAGTCACCTTCAGCTCAGCCTTATAACTTAATTTTGGTTTCAATAGAAATCTGCAATTTTGCTCTTGTTGTGGTTGTGGATAGGGGTGTGCATAATTTGGTATATACCGAATTGCGGAACCGAAATCAAATTTGGTATTGGTATTTGGTTTAAAGTTTTTAAAAATTTGGTATTTGGTATGGTATTCGGTGTCTAGACATAAAATACTGATATCGTACCGAAATACATATTAACTTACACAATACACATATGTTAGATTATAACTTAAATACTAAAGGCATAACATTTTACTTCCTTATCCGTAATGCCACTCTCATGTCATTGCTTGAGCGATAATTCAGATCATTACTGCCAGTTCAACTGTAATTTTGTTTGGTTTCTTTTCCAGATTCCTATATTTATTTCAGAACTAATGGTAGTCCAGTTCAAAAGTTCATACATGATCACACAAGCCTTTCCTCTAACTCAGTCTCTCGAAAATTGAAAGTTCCAAAAGGCACTTTCTATGATTTAGCGTTTAGATTTTTTTTACCTTCTTAAAGACTGAAAAGAAAGTTATGATTCCTTAACCAAACCAAAGTTGCCAAACTGAATAAACCAAAATTGAAAGGAGAAAAGTCGAACCATATCGGATTTAATTAGCTATGGTATTGGTATAGCATTTTGAGAAACTGAATACTGATCCCTAACCGAAATGTCTAAAAACTATGCCAAACCGACCGAAGAACATTCCTAGTTGTGGACTAATCAGGGAAATTATTGCAAGTCAAATATATGTTTTGCCTCCAGTTGAAGAGGCTACTTCTGTTTCTATCAAAGATAGGTTTAAAGTTGTATTTTTCGAGATGAAAACTAGTAATATCTTACAGTAGAATTGTTTCTGATCCTCCATGTATGTCTCTGGTAATTGGTTCCATCTCTCTCTCAAAAAAAAAAAAACAATGGTGAAAATAATGCTTCTCATTTGACATTTTGTGCTCTCGTGGCTTACATTTTGGTGCTAATGGATTCAGCTCATGATTTCTCTGGTGATATTTCAGGGAATTGCATTGAGAGGACTTTTCATCATTGACAAGGAAGGAGTTATTCAGCATTCAACCATTAACAATCTTGGAATTGGTCGTAGTGTTGATGAAACATTGAGAACTCTTCAGGTATAAATCGGCCATTTTATTCAGGGTTTTGCCAGTACATGTTCAACCGAGCTCGTATAGCTATAGGTTGTTCTTATATTGCTTTGGTTTCCCAAAACAGGCATTGCAATACGTTCAGGATAACCCGGATGAAGTGTGCCCAGCTGGATGGAAGCCTGGGGAGAAATCCATGAAGCCTGACCCCAAGGGTAGCAAAGAATACTTTGCATCCATATGAGGTGATGACTGCAATTGCTTTATCTAATTTGTTGTTTAGGAAGGCTGGAGACCCTACTTTTCTGTTACATTTTTCTAATGTACCGGCTGAGTTTGGTCATTTTTGAGAATATATACACTTGTACACTTTTATATTCTGCCTTTGAAAGCCATTACTTAAAACAACCTCAGTCCATCTGATCTACAATTGGATCATAATTCAATAAGTAAATATACCTATCTTTTTAGCGGTCAGGATTTGGTCTAATGGTAAGAGTGCAACTTGTGATTTGCGTGTTAGGCGCACATAACCGGTTTTCAGTCTTGCCATAGACCAAAACTTGGTATTTAAGTGGATAAGATATAGCGATGGGCTCACTATCTGCCGAGTTTTCAGCCATGAATTTCTCGGTTATCGAAACATAATATGTATGCACCAATTTTTGCATCACTTCACAAGTTATATGCACTATTCTAGTTTCTAGCTCCTCTCTTCTGGTGGGCCAATATATCTTATCCAAAAATGGGAGAGACGAGGGAATATATGCTAGGAGTAGTATATAACTTTTCTCTTTCATTGTGGGTTTGTTGACACGTTCCAGCACATAACAACTGACTATGCTAATCTTAGTTACTTATTAGATGTAATTCTTTAATATATCCCTAACACATGACATCGCCATATATATTAGCCAATTATGTATGACCTCATAATTCTAAGAAGACCTGGTCAACAAAACCACTTGTTTAAGAATATTTTTTGAGAAAAAACGATAACTAAGATGCTTCTATTGTTTAACCAGATTTCTATTTGAAGATTCCACTTGGCTATAGACTCCTCCATCCACATGATTTGGAGCCATTATTGCATCGACGTGGTTTTCAACAAATTGCCTTATAACTAATCAAGATAATCATATAATTATTTTCCAAGTGTTTCATGAATCAGTAGCAAATTATGATGGTATCATTAACATTTAATAATAAATTAATATCAAACATACAATTTGGTGTTGCTCGCTTTTCCTGTTTTGTTTTAATTATTGAAATAGATTGTATTATTTGTCCTTTGTAATCAAAGGAACATATCGACCTAAAGGAACATTCAGTACTTAATACATGCTCTTGGTAGGTTTTATTAATAACCGAAATTATTAATGATTCAATCTGCTTTAAAATAAATAAGCAAAAATTCATGAAAGGAGCATTAAAAGAAAGGAGCATTGAGATTTGTTTTCAATACCTTACATACTGATGACTTGTGAACCTAGATTATAAGGGTATATCACGTGAAATATTCCAGAGTTTACGCAGAGCACAAATGGGAAATGCAAAATATTATTAGTTTATATACACCGTATAAAGGATTTAAATTAAATTCTTAGTATCAAAAGAAAACAGGACTCTTTATATATTGATTTCCTTTTTCTCTCAAAGACTGTTAGGTAGACACAAAGTTAAAAAGGGTTCTAAGGACTTCTGTAATTTTGAGGCGACCAAAGAGCATGTTATGCTAATATTACATTCAGACGTTTCTGAATTTAAATTCATGTGAATGACACATTGACTATTATCTAAATTATGTCACATAAATTATTATCGTTATAAATCTAATCAAGAGGTTGTGAGTTCGAGTCACCCCAAGAGCAAGGTGGGTCGTTCTTGGAGGGAGGGAGCCGAGGGTCTATCGAAAACAACCTCTCTATCCACAGGGTGGGAGTAAGGTCTGCATACACACTACCCTCCTCACACCCCACTAGTGGGATTATAATGGGTTGTTGTTGTTGTTGTTGTATAAATCTAAAATAACATTGTAATAAATTATAAAAATAAATCTTCCCAACAGTAAGAGAAGTGCATTTGGGATGGATAGATATCAAGGGCTCTCTCTGTCTATTTTTTCAACTTCATATTTTAGAACCATAGAAAGATAAAAAAAAATATCATCTCCTTATTTTATCTCATTCAATGTCAAGTTTTCCTGATTCAGATTACGCACCAGTTGAGAAGAGTTTAACCAATTCAAGCTTGATTCTATAGACGTGGATATTACAACAAATATGCTTTTTCTCCAGATTAATTTATCAATTTGTTGTGTTATATATGTAATGTATTTGACACTTTTTTAGAACTTTTTCTCGTAAGTGATAGTGTCAAACAACGGATAGAAAATAACCACAAACTATGGGTGTTTGAGTGAACCATAATCTTTTCTACAAAATGCTTACATTAATGAATACACTGTTGTGATATTACTTATAGTAAATCCAGTTACTAAATTATAGAACTGGTTGTTATAGGTTTGTTCGCAATATATCTGAGTCGAATATTTCATGTTCGAATTCAAGATTTATTATGCAAAATAAAAAGGAAGAAAGAGTGCAAGGTCAATGTTCACACATTTTTAAGTAGGAACACCAATGGCTTTACAATAATAAAGGTAATACAAGTAAACAGACAAAAGCATAATGCCTGAACAAAATGGATCTTTACAGATCCACAAAAACTGTTACTTAAAAAAGCATAATGCTTGAACAAAATGGAATTTATAGATCCACAAAAACTGATATTTTCTTCTTTTTTTCTCTCGGATATGTGTATATATATTAGAACTACTAAGTCATTTCTAATGGCATAAAAAAGAGAGCAGAGTTTCTTTACTGCAAAGACCTTTGGCAATGCACAAACTACTATGTATACTGGAATTTCTAAATCCCAAAGGAGCAAAAGAACAGAAACACATTTTTACGTAGGTACACTGGATTCGGGCGTATAATTATATCTCTGAATTTCATCCTCCCAAATCAATTTTGATATAATTTCATCCTTCTCTGGTACATGTTCCTGTAACAGGAGGAAGAAAAAAAAATTAAAAAGAAGACAAAAATGATACAGCACATATTTTCCTTTTTGAAGGAAGAAAACAAAGAAAAGAATGATGAAGAACCATGTCAACCGACATGAAGCTTAAAATATAAACAAAAGAATTAGCATTATTCAAGTGGTGTCTGATTTAAAGACATATTATAAATATTAAGAGAAGTTTCTAACAGTCTGAAACGCCTCAAGTGGGACATGCCATTTAAGTTGGAGTGTGTACAAAGAACCTAAACGAGTTTTATGTTTGAACTTGACAAAGAACGTTTATTTTACTGCAAATATATTCATATATATATATATANGGCCTCAAGTGGGGCACGCCATATTACCAATAAAATAGCAACTTAGTGCTGAGCCTATTCAACTTGAAACGTGTACAAAGAACCTAAACGAGTTTTATATCTGTACTTGACAAAGAATGTTTATTTTACTGTAAATATATTCATATATATACCTCAAGTTCTCTGATCAACTCTTTAGCTGTTGGAGCAGACACGATTATGCGACGTGCAGTTGGAGATATAAAGCCTTCATCAACGGCCTTATCAATAAAAGACAATAAGGAATTGTAGTAACCTTCAACATTTAACAACCCCACCTGCATAATTAGATTTAGATTCGATTAGTAGTTAAATAAGTAACTATATAAATGATCAAACAGCCTTCTTTGGACCACAAAAGGGCAGCCCGGCGCATTAAGCTCCCACTATGCGCGGGATCCGGTGAAGTGCCGGACCACAAAAGTTTCTTTGGACCAACATTTTCAATATTCTAATGCTGAAGAAGCTCTTTTCTTGCCATTTAAAGAGGATCATGAAGCATGACGATAGTTAGAACGTGCAAATCTTGTATAATCTTTCCATGTGAACAAAAATTAAGGACCACGTGCTTCGATTCTTTTTCAAGTTTCATTATGATTTTGATACGAATTGTTGACTGGAATATAGAATCCCTGCAGGAAAAATACTTTAGGTATGCGAAGAAACTCTAAAATAAGGTTATGTCGTGAAAGAGGTAACACACAAAATGTCAAGACGTAGAATTTCTTGTGTTGGTCAGAGTATTATCAAGTTGCTAATTCAAATGTAAGAGCATAAGAGTTGAAATCATAAAAGTTAGAAATGTCCAAATGGAACGATTGTAGCCAAAAAATGTACAGAAAATGACTAGACGCTTATTGTGGAATAACAAAAGACCATTAGAGTCTTTGGAGTATGATGGCACTAAGGAATGATTTTAGTCAAAAGATAAAAGTTCAAGCTATGACCATCTTCACAAGAAAGATTTTATCAAGTCCTTGATTTCCTTTAAATTCAAAGGCACATTTTAGTGTCAAACTTTGCGTCATTAAATACTAATTTTTCATACTTATTACTTTGAGTATATGCTTAAAGGTGACTCCATATATGAGAATGTTTCATTTAGGCCTCAGTCAAGACCTACCACCATAATTTCAACATTAAATTGTTCAATCGATTTCATTTTCATGTATTTTGGTGCATATTTCTCTATGTAAAGTAATGCGAAAAGGATAGCAAATACAGACTACAACTCATAGAAGCCAACAGAAAGAATATGAAAGAAATAGAGTGGATCAATAAATTGTACAGATAGAGAAATAGCAACGACTATGCAATAGTGTAGGATTAGCTTCTAAATGGGCAAACCTACCTAGTAGGGATGCTCAAGGAGAAGAGAATAAAGATAGATTATGGATTATGGATTGGAAATATCGCTTGTAAGTAACTTTTGTCTGGTCGGGATCAATAAAAAATTTCTTTCACCTAAAAAAAGTAATGCGAATAGAAGTGCAGATGACTCACTGGTTTCTGGTGGATACCAAGCTGAGCCCATGTAATGACTTCAAGAAGTTCTTCAAGGGTACCATAACCACCTGAAAATGAGACAGCAGAACACCAATTTATTATAAAAATGAGATGACACTACAGTTTAGGACACGAATCTTACAAATAGTGTATTTTTTTAGGATTCGACACTATTTTTGGAGCATACGACAAAGTTGCGGTAATATTTTGGAGAATCTACGCAACATAAGTAATATGCTAATAGTAGCAATTACACATGGGAAAACACAATTTTTGATGATTTACCAGGAAGGGCAATGAAGGCATCAGCTTGCCGGGCCATCTCGGCCTTCCTTTGATGCATACCAGACACTGCTCTCACTTCTCCAATAGTTTCACCGGTTAACTGTTACAACATTCAGAACCATAAGTAGACACTTTAGCAGTGATTAAACATGAAATGAAACATAATAGAAAATGATTTCAGAGTTTCTTCTGAGTTATCTGAGTAGTACCTCTCTGGGCATAAGAGTCTTTGGAATCACTCTGCAATAGTACAACCATTTACATTATTAATAACATTCAAGATATAACAAACTGCTAAGCCGTTTTGTTGTGCTAAGAAATAAACTCTACACCATCCCTATTTTTGAAGATTTGGAAATGCTTCACTCAATGTCTAAAAGTCTCCAAAAGTTTAATCTCCCACGTATTGTTCTTTATTTTACTTGTCAATAACTGCCAAAAAGCTCTAGAACATGCAAGATACTTTTAGGAAAAGATTTACAAGAACACCATTTACGTGTTTGTAAGATGTTGTTCGGTATCATCTGAACAAAAAATAATTTGTTTGTTCAGAAAATGGCCCATTTGTGCGGCCAACTAAGGAGAGACACAACACTTCAATTATCAAAATATTTCAGCATTTGATCCCGTGATGTCTGCCTTTAGGCAGTACTCAAGAAGTCATCTCATTGAAAACTGAGAAACTTGCAAGGTCTTGAGATCTAACTTTAAAAAATTACTTAAATATGTAAAACAATCTTATACAGACAAGGTCCATTAGTAGAACCAATAAAAACATTTTTTGCCTAGTGTTAATGCGTATGCGCGAGAGAGAGGGGCGAGTACTCATTCACTTGTGCACACAATACAATTTTTTTTTACACTATCATTTTAATTTAACATATGTTAAAATGTTTTATGCCTTATTTTTTCTAGCAACTAATTATACAAGTGACGTAATAGTGTAAAAATTATACGATTAAATGAAGAGAAAGAGAGGTTGGTTAATTACCCAAGAACATGGCGGCCACCATCATGAACAGCCTGAGAAACAAGACCCATGAGACCAATGCTTCCACCTCCATACACTAAATCTATTCTTCTCTCCACCTTCCACAACGTAATAAAAACCATTTATTAGCACTTCTCAATCATCATATTAAAGCAAAAAAATAAAAACATATAATGACAGGCCACATCAACATATGAAACTACATTAGCATTATACTGTAGTACTCAATATTAAATCAGAAACTATAACTTCCCAGAAAACCAGTTCTAGACCAAAGAATTGTATATTAATCATATATTCCACATGCATGTGCATATTTAAATGCTCTAAAGAGGTTTAATTAGATCGAAATATTAAAGAAGAAAACAGAAGAAAGGGGTCATGATAACAAGATGGCACGTTCTGTTCCCCCATAAAAAGACAGTGGAATTTCTAAGGACTGAAACCATAAAAACTATAAGATCATGCAAGAACACTGCTTAACATACAGACAGCCTACAGCTAGCAATTATTTTAATTTATTTTTCCCCTCCATTCTTTCTTTCTCTTATGCCAAACAGAAAATAAACCCTAAAAATATTTCCTGCCTATTCTCCCAACAACAACATACCCACCTAGAAAGTTCGACAGGTGTTTGGGAAAAAAAATGTGAAAATAAATTAAACAAAAAGAATACAACAATAGAAACAAAAGACGACTTTTTAACATAAATCAACACTCACGGAAAACATCTATTTGAGTTTTGTTAAAAATGGAAAAGCATACTGTAAAAGAGGAACTCAAAGTTATAAAAATGGATTCTTTGATCTTTTAAACCGGTTAAAGATCGGGTGCAACAAAGAAAGTAAAAGCACAATATAAAAGTTGGAAAGGAAGAAGGGTTAAAAGTCATATTTTTTCCTTAAAAAGCACAAAACTTTCTGCTACGAGAAACAGAAAATTAAGAAAGAAAAAAAAGAGAGAATGGAAGGGCGTAAAAATCGTAGTTTTTCATGAAAAGCACAAAACTTTCTGCTTCTGAAAAACGAAAAAAATGGAAGGTCTTAAAAATCATAGCTTTTCATAAAAAGCACAAAAATAGAGGAAAACAATGGAGAAGAAAAAGGTTTAAATTCTTACCAGCTCTTTACCCAAGTCAATAGCAGCTTCTTGGTAGCTACTTTTCTTGCCAGAACTGCTTCCACAGAATACACAAATCCTCTTAAACTTTGATGTTCTCTCTTCCTCCATTCTTATTATTTTTTCCAGTCTTTTTATATATTTTCTTTCTCTCTCTCTATATATGTATATGTTTACGTGAATAATAATGACACCAAAAGTGAACAAGAGAAGAAGAAAGGATAGTGGGAAATGGGAATGAGAGCAGAAGAAGCTGCAATTTTCCTTTTTGGCCTTTGTAGGGAAAAAGGAGTACTACTTATAGGCACTTGTTCAGCTGAGCGCTCCATTATATTAGTAAAATATTTACTAGTTTTTCTTTTTGTCTTATTGGCTAAACATTTTGTAATATAGGAGTATATCTTACAAATTCTGCTACCCATTTTTTATTGCTTGCAAATCGTACATTCTCCTTATTTGTTGGACTATTTCATTTCTTGTTGGCTTCCTTATACTTTTTATTATTTTATTTTTTTGTTGGGTTCTTTATAAACAAAAAGTTTGGTGTAGAATGTAGATGCAATTGCTGCACTAGAATATTGAGTCCGTAATTTCCTCTTTCAGGAAAAAAACAAACATAATCGTTTCAACTGAAAAAATTAAAATTGTTAAGTTGCTTCCAGATATTCCAAACATAAATTCTTACACAGACCTTCGATTGTACTTGCAAAAGAGGTTATAACACAACGTTATGTGAAAAGGGTATTTATTTCACTGTGTTACGTCATATATTATCTAACGTAAAATAATATACTATAAATTTTCATTTAATTTGATGCTCCCACTTACCATTATGCTGTAATTCAACAATAAAAATGAAACATTGCACTATTAATCCAAATTTTATATCATAAATCAAATATTACACTTATTAGTTAATATTCATAAGCTTTTAATTAAAATTATTTTTTTTCGTCGAGACCAACCAGATGAGTACTTCCTCCATTCCATTTTAATTGCCGTTTTAGTTCTTTTCACGTCCATCAATAAAAATAATAAATACAATATACAGTTTACTAAATTACTCTTATTAAATGATTCTTGAGAATTGAGTAATATTAAAAAGCCCCACTTGTGGGATTATACTGGGTTGTTGTTATTGTTAATAAAATAAAAAAGAACTATTACTTCTTTAATATTAAGAGTATAGTTAGAAACAATAAATAAATTTAATTCTGAAAATCTAAAGTGACAACTATTTTGAGATAAATTTTTTGAGCTAAATCGACAATTAAAATGAGACGGATGAAGTATAATTCTAAAACATGTATATTCCTTGAATATTATATATACAATCATTATCTCCTTTCTTAAATGATTAACAAGCCATAAGTTAGGAACCCAAAGTGAAGAAAGCTTACTTAAAAAAGTTGTTAGTGTTGGATTATAGGTTGTGGGTCGTTCCATGTGGGCTGACCCGACCCAGTTAAGAGAGATAAGTGAGAGAGCTTAAGGGAAGTTACCACTAAATCACAAACTTTTACTAAAGTAAACGTGCAAAAAGGGAGTGGTGGGTTATCTTTCTTAACCGCTATTACTCTGTCTATTTATGTTAAAACTCAGAACTTTTTGAAGCGTTGTATTTTTCTCTCTGACTAATTATTTCTATACGAAAAATACACACAAGTTAGGACATTTAATTGGTGAAAGATTAACTTTGTTTCCTAGTGATTCAAAGGTTGATTTGGGGTAATTCTTTTGGTGGTGAGTTCAACGGCTTCTGGTGCGTCAATAAGGTACAAACCTCATTGTTCTCGCCCCTCGTTATTATCTAACATTGGTATCAGAGCGGTGATCGTGTGTTCTGTCAAGATGAATGCACATTGATACTGTATTTGTTTTTTCGAGTTTCTGTGTCGTTTGCTATACTTTCACTGTTATCTTTCAGATGAATTTGATATAAATAACAAGTTTGTGGCGTGAAAGAGAACCCACAAACAAATAACATTGAATATGAAATAGAAGCCTAACTTTCTTGACCCATGCGCCTCTAGTATGTAAAAGTGAGACTATTATGTGTTAATGCAATTTGGCCCATAAGAATAAGTCACTGCTAAAATATTTTCTTTATCTATTATCTCAATGAAGAATGATTATCTTGGTTTCTTTACTTGCAAAAATAAATACAGTGAAATCTTTCATGTTTTGATTATTTACATGATATTCAGACTTGAAAAGTGAATATTTCATATAACTTTTTGTTAGTTGGAAACCATGTAGTAATAATTATATCCATTAGGCAAAGTAAATTACTGATCTGCCTAATAAATGTTTGAATCATTAACAAGGACAGTGAAATATATATGTGAATGACATTTTGTCCAAGTATTAGGAAAATTTGGTTCCTAGTATTTTTATGTATGTTTTCCATAAGAAATTTATGCCACATCGATTTTCATACATATAGATGTATTTCTTTTCCCGGATATCTTTTTGGTATTCATTACAAGATAAAGACGATTCAATGTGCTAAGACTATGAATCTAAATTATTAATGAATTGGTCTTAGTACAGATTTTTTTTTTTAGTAAAATTGTTCAACCCTATCCCTTACATTGATATACTTCTACTAGTTATTGTGACATATGTTTTCACATTGAGTGGTTGTAACCATTCTTATTATTTCCTTGGTCCTATTTCAAATATGGCTGAACATGGTCAAGTTCAAATTACTCCAAGTAGGAGTTCTCGAAATCAAGGAAGGGGATAACGTAGAAGGATACATCGTCGCAGGACTTATTTCTGTAATGATTTACACTCGGAGCCTGAAGTAATCAGAAATGTTCCAAGAGCGAGGCAAAATAAGTTAAGGAATCAGAGGGCGAGCGAAGGGAAGGAGAAACAAAATTTAGGGAGTTTAATAAAGTTAAAATGGGCTCTGATGCTTCCATTCCTGAACATGTACATCCTTTTCAATTAAAAAGACCTGAATTGGCTAATTACATAGAAATTAATGATTGGAAAGTATTAGATATTTTAGCGAACTCTTTTCGAGAGCCTTAGGATGAAATGTTAACTGAGATTTATCATGATAATTGGCCTAGTGCACCTTTTAGCGTATATAGGCAAGAGTTAGTATTCGATTGGTACATGGATGTCCTAGAAAATATGTAAATTGTTATTATATGTTTTATATTAATAAAATTTAAATTATGTTATTTGTCTCACTAGTTACATATATTATTTATTATTTTATCTTGTAATGGATTGAGACTTGAAATAAAGTACACACTAAAAAGTAATTTTAATATTAATTAAAATATTTAGATATAGATGATAAATGAAAACGTAGTGACCTTTCGATTCTATACTAAATATAAAATAATACTATAATTAATTTGCTTGAGTGTGTAATCATATGCATAAATTGACTGCAGTATATATATTGATGAGTTAAACTTGTAATATTGTCTCTAATAACAAATATGGCATTGAAAAGTATCATTGCTGACTTGAATAAGGGTGACAAATTGAATGGTGAAAATTACGACATCTGGAGTCATAAAATGTGGTATGTACTCGAATAGCAAGATGCTCTTGAAAGTATTAACCATGTTATGAGTCACCTTGTAACGATGCGGTCGGTCGTTTTGAGTGTATTAGCCCTGATCCCCTATTTATTGCATCCTCTGTATTATATTGTAGTTACGTGATTTGACGGGATGCTTGGTTTCGGGGTCAGAAAAGTTTCGGAGTGAAATGGGACACATAGTCCCTAAGTTGGAGACTTAACTTGTTAGAGTTGACCGTAGTTTGACTTTGGTGGAGAAGACTCTGAAATAGAGTTTTGATGGTTCTAATAGATCTGAATGGTGATTTTAGACTTAGGAGCGCGACTGGATGTGGATTTGGACACCTGTAGGTCGTTTCGGCGTGTTTCAGCGAAGTTAGGAAAATTGAGGTTTGGAAGGTTTGACCGGGAGTTGACTTTATTGATATCGAGATCAAATTTCGATTTCAAAAGTTGAAATAGGTCCATAATATCATTTATGACTTGTGTGCAAAATTTGATGTCAAGCAGAGTTGTTTTGGTATGAATCGGCAATAGTTTTGGATTTCGGACGTTCATAAGTTCTTAGGGCTTGAATCAATGCGCGATTCGTGATTCTACTGTTGTTTGATATGATTTGACGCCTCAAACACATTTGTATGATGTTTTAGGAATTGTTAATATGCTTGGTTGAGGTCCCGGGGTCCTCGTGTGTAATTCGGACCATGTTCAGCTTATTTCGGATCATTGGGGAATAGCTGAAGTGCTGGTTTTTCTCAGTTCTTGTTATCTTCCAAGCGTTCGCGAAGGTGTTCTCGCGTTCGCGAAGGTGTTCTCGCGTTCGCGTAGAGTATTATGAGATTGCTGGAAGTTTACCCTTCGCGTTCGCGAAGAAGGCCACGCGTTCGCGAAGGGAAAGGAGCTTGTGCACTGCGATCGCGGACTGGGATCCCCTTTCGCGAAGAGGAAAGGCAGTCTGAGGTGGGGACTCTCGCGTTGGTCTATGCGTTCGTGAGAAGGGCTTCGCGATCGTGAAGCTTTAGAACTTTTGTCACCGTGTTTGCAAGTGGATCCTCGCATTCGCGTAAAAGGAAATCTGGGCAGTAATATTTTTTTGCTTCGCGAATGCAAGGCATTTTCCGCGTTCGTGAAGAAGGAATAGCTGGACAGCAGAACTTAAGTTTGAAATCGAGGGTTTATTTCATAATTCATATTTTGGAATTAGAGTGCTCGGTTTGAGGCGAAACTCCGAGGGATTTTCAGAGAGATCATTGGGATAAGGATTCCTAACTCGATTTTGGTTAAATTACTCGAATCTATCATTGTTTTTATCATGTAATTAGGGATTGGAGTTGAAAAATTGGGGAAAAGTGATAGAACTTCTTAGGCTAAAATTTTACGTTTTGAAAGGTGAAATGAGGTCGGATTTGAATAATTCTTGTATGGTTGGACTCGATATCGAATNATAATAGTGTGAAATTTTTTCGGCTAGATTCGAGCCGTTCGGTGTTGGAAAATTGAGGGAAAGGCCTTCTAGTTGATTGAATTAGCGTGGTTTGAGGTAACTGTCTTGTCTAACCTTGTGTGGGGGAATTACCCCTTAGGATTTGGTATTGTTGTGATAATTGTGATATGTGAAAGCCGTGTACGCAAGGTGATGAGTGTGTACACGGGCTAAATGTTGAAATTTTTTATTTTTAGCTATGTAGTTTCCTTCAATGCATTAATTGAATTAC